TCCTAAAACACACTATAAAAAAGAGTTTAGAAAGTTTTTTAAACTAAGTCACTTTCTTATAAATAATCCCCATTGAAATTTGCACTTAAAAAAAGAGATAATTCTTAGAACTTTTAACAATGCTAAATGCCACCTTCTCTTTCCAATTAAATTTTTGCTTCTGAATAGAGATGTATCATTTTACTGATAACAGGAATCTTTGTCAGAGAATATTTAAAGTCCAGTGATGGCAAATATAGTGCTAAGCTGATCACAGGGAACTTATTTCTATATTGCAAGCGAAGCTACACAGTAAAATTGTTGAAGTAGGCAACAGAGGGTTTTTTAAAGCACAGAACTTTGCAAGAAAGTAAGATCTTTGACCAAGTATTTCAGAATACTTTCACAAAACCATTTGAATATTGAGAAAAATGGTGGAATTTAATGCTAGTTGAAGTTGCAGGGCTTTTACCTCGAGTTTCCTCTCCAAACTATCTGAAGCCAGGAGTCTGCAATCACATTGGTCCATGCAAGTCTAACAGACAGCACATGGGATCAGGCTACAGGGCTCTCTAGCCAGGGTGCTGAAGTGAAAACCCAACTTTTTTTTCAGTTGGGTTTAAAGCCAATGTTTTAAAACCTCAAGATGTGCTTTTATAGCAATAAAATTGTAATGTCACATAAATATTTTAATACCCAGTTCTACTTTTTTAAATAAAAGCATATAGATTTTAAAAGTCTCTCACTGGCTAACATGGCCAGTCTCACAAAGCATACAGTATATGCTCTTTGCACTGAAGTCCACCTGAACTGAGTACGGCTTTTACATTGCCAAGATCTGACGCACTGAAGACTGTGCCCTGGCTCTATACAAGAAATACATTGCGTAGTTTTCCAAGATGTGTATTGTTATAATGGATGCATCTAATATATCCATTTTTCTCTTGGTTACTTACCTAAAACAATGGAAAGCTGAGCTGAATTGGATCCACGGGTCCAATTTTAATACAATGGGTATAAGAAACAGAACACAGAATAAACAGGGCAATGTAAAGAGAGCACTAAGAATTCCTCAAGAAAAATATACAACTTCTTGAAGTAACTAAGATCCCCAAGATATACAAAGACTAAAAACTCCTGGCAGTTCTCTGACTGAGACTTGAACACTATAATACTGTCTGTACTGTAATGGGGTTTCCCTTGGCTGTGCATCTTTAATGTTTGTTGTTGAGAACACTGACCTACAAAAACTAGGAGAAAAAAAAAACAACTAACTGATGATTAATGAATCCAGTATTTCTAAGAAATAAAGTACACCAAGTATACTGTTTTTTCAATTCAACATAATTTGAAATCTAGCAGTTTGAAAGAATCTTATAGGCTTCCAGATCCATCCCTTTATTATTATTAGGTCAAAACTAAAGGAGGAAAAATGTATTGCTATTTATTATTTGATACTGTAAAACACCCTAAAGCCCTCTGATGGACTTCCATCCTATGCACATATGTGCTGCACACAGACACAATTCCTTTCTAAAATTTCTTACAGTTTCTGTTAAGAAATTGATACCTTTTTAGGTAAAATGCTTTTTTAAACAGATTTCTATGCTTTAAAAGGTAACAACCTGTTAATATGCTGTCTTCCTAATGTCCATACAAAAATTGCCACATTATTTGTTGCTATGAAACAAAATTTCAGGATAGCTGATGGTCCTATGACAAGGTAATGTGCTATCATTGATCAATACAGCACTTGAACTCCAAACCTCTCTCAATTTCAGTAAGAAATGCTGTGGAAAGGTCTTTGGCTCAGAAAAAAAAAAACACTAAATTTTACAGTGCTCCCAGCAGGCTCTTTCTGATATGGAAAAATATAAGTACTCGAGGTAGCCCCATCCTCCCTGACTTAAACAATGAAAGAAGACAATTCAATTCAGGTCCTTTGACTCCAAGAAGAAGACAACATTGCCTCAAAGCAAGAAAGAAACTCAAACAAACAAAAGACCTGTAGGGCATCCTAGTATGTAAGACATCACCTACTTCAATCTGTTAACCCCGTCTAGTTCATCTGTGATAACCACGCAGTGAATTTTATTAAGAAATAATGACTCTGCTCCAGGATTGCCCACAATGACTTTCAAACAAATCTGCACCCTTCACTAGCAAGCACATGAGAACCTTTTCTTCAGGCAATCAGTGTTTCAAGCTCCAACAAGCTTCAAGTTGAACACAAAATGCCCAACTGAAAGGGCTATTAGTCACAAAGTTTAGATGTCTACCCAAGAATAATATGCATAAAATTACAACAGGACATTTTAGATTAACTGTGCTTCTAGCTAGGGAATTTTGGTGACTTCACAGCATTGCTATTTACACATTTCTGTATTTTACTGCCAGGCAAGGAGAGCAGAGCAGCAGCATTCCATGTATTTCTTCAGTGCACTACACGGCAAAATACTACAGTTCTGATCTTGTCATTCACAACACACTTTAGAGTTGTACTTACAGTTTCTTCTAACTATTCCATCCTGTGAGATTTTTCAGCACATTTTATTTCACATAAGCTGAATAACAGTTATCACAATGTCACCCCATAATTTACTAGTTATTTTAAAGGAAGTGTTAGCCTCTTACATGTTTCTACTCAGAATTATCATCAAATCACACTCACTATGATTCATTCAATTTCGTATTTTATCTAACATAAATGCTCTTTTATAAATGCAGTTTGAAATAGGAATGGATACTGCAGGACTGCTGTTCATTTTAGAAAGACATCTGCCTAATCAAAGAAAAGTAATAAAGCATAATGTAATATAGACAGATGTTACATACAGAAATACTACATATTAAGAATATGATTGTTGATATAGCTTACGAGATGGGGTAATAGTGCTCTGTTTCAGATTCCGAGCAGTAGAATAGCTTTCTCAGATACTCAACAGATTTTATTTAAGGTCCCAGAGGTGTAACAGTGAACCAATTTAATAGCAAGTAAAACTGCAGCATGATGCTCCAGTGCAGAATGCTCCATCTAAAAAGTGCAAACAGCAAGAAAAGAGCCGTTGCAGTTGGAGTTAATTTGAAATGTTGAGGTCTTTTAAGAACTGGCATTGAAATTCTTATGAAAAACCAAGAGAAAAGAACCCCAACACACCAAGATGCAGCACTGACTGGGGGTAAAAACTTTAGCATGAAACTAAGATCTGAAGACGTGTCTCTAAATCTATGTGCTGGTAGGCGACTTTAGGAAGGTCTCTTCCATGCTCTGAGCTCCATGATGAGTTCCATCACTCCTAAGGGACATGAGACCTTGTATTTGTTACACTGACTTCAATTGCAGGTTTCTTCAGGCAAGGACTGTCAGAGTCTGATTGGACTCTGCATATTATTTCATTAAAAAAAACAACAAAATGTCCATTTTGCTAAAACTGGAAGCTTATTCCAGCTGGCAAGAATACAGTTGTTACATCTTCCCTATGCCATGGATAGCCCTGAACACATTTAAATTAACAGACTGATTTTCAGCCAAGCTGATATTTATAGTCTGCTGTGGAAAGGCATTATGAAAAATATAATGTTGTCAAACTAATCACATTAATACAACATTGTAAACTAATGCTGCTGCTTTTGCTGGGAGAGACATGAACAATAAAAATTTATTGTAGAGGATACTTGCTGATTAAAAGAACTGTAAAGACTAAGGTGAACACAATTTTATTGTTCCAGTATAAAAAATTATAAGCTAATGTCAATGCAACTTATCTCCATGATCTCCAACATTAAAGTACTACAGCGAAACTAGCAAGCTATTGCAGTGAAAGCATGCATATGACATACAGTTACCTAGTATGTAGCTGTTATACCCATGATAGTAGCAAGAATCTAAGCGTAAAAATGCTGAAAGGCAGTTTGTGTTCAAGTTCTTTAAGGGCACAGAACAACAAATGATTTGAGATATCAAGGGCTGAAGCCTACCTAAAGAGACATGAATGAGACATAGCCTAGGAAACTGGGAAATTCACTTTTTGCCATATTAATATCATTTACCTGCTGTTCCAAACACATCATATTTGAGCTGAGGTTTCCTGAGGTTTAATGGCTACCCATTGTTAAATAATTTTTTAGATTACTTGTATTCATGCACAGAAAAAGAAAATCTTGGTTAATAAGGCTGTTATGAATACCTCACTGAGGAAACATTGCTCAAACTCTTCATGCACCCATAAATAACGTCAAAGACCTAAAGCTTTAACTGCAGGTCGTGTATTGTTAAATGTTCTGCTATCCCCACCTCTCCTTTAAGTGAGTATCACCCTATCACCCAAGAATTAGGAGATGCGAGCATCAGTGGCTCTGACATAAATAAGTTTTGGCTATCCTTTCTGAGGATGGTTTACATAAAGGAACACCTATTTGCTGACATCACACTTCCCTACAGTTGGCATCTTTCTATCATCTTTAAGGTGTAGGCAAGAGATGAGGGGTTTTGTGTATCTGGGCAACACAGCTGGTACATTCTCTTTCCACATATTTTCTTCATCAACTGCAGGAAGATGTTTCAGTGATCAGTATGGCCAAAAATTATGCTTCCATTATTCAGACACTATCATAGGTCCTATGTGAATTTATAATTTCTGTGGTAAGAAATGTAATACCTAACTGGTATTTCAAAGCACTTTTTAATAACGTGTATCAGTTTCAAGAGCCTATATATTCCACAGTTGCTTATACCTCACTGCCTCTCTATTTGTCAACCTCTGCTATTACTTAATGGAATTTAATTCAGAATATATATTCTACTGTACTTCAATACCTAAAAAATACTGTCTATATTCTATTATTCAAGACACAAAAATTATACAGGAAATAATTAACTGCTTTTTCATTACTATGCCATATACATATATATGTATATATATACATAAAGGTTGTGATACTCAATGCAAACCTATGGTAGCTTAAATGCTATCAAACTGCTACAGCTTGCTTAGTTCATAGAATTATTGGTTTTGGCTTACCCAAATCTGTAGCTTAATTCTTTTTTCATTTTTGAAAACTGTTTTTACTTTGAAATCGATCCCAACCGTGCTTACAAATGCAGACGTAAAGGAATCATCAGCATATCGGAACAAAAAGGAGGTTTTCCCAACACTGCTGTTGCCAATAATGAGCAGTTTGAACATGTAATCAAAGTTCTGGTCAGATGTTTCTTTCTGGCCATATCTGGAATCTTGAGCGGCTGCCATCTGTAATTCAAAATGAAAAGAAATTGTTTATTGTCTCTTGTATCGTATAAAACCAGAAACGTTCAGATTTTATTGGAGTTTTTGATATCAGATATTAATGAACTCAAGAAGAAGTTCACAGATGATTGATTAATTTCATGGTTCTTGTATCCATGGTAATAGTTCTGGTTGCAAACGAGAATGCAAATGTCCGTGGTGGCTGGTACTAAAAAAATAATTCTAAAAATCTGGGGGAGTTCTCGAGTATATAATTAAAAGAGCTACATTCAGAAGATGTGATGAATTAGCCAGACAGTGACATTACAAGCAAAGATACTTCACTTGAACAAGAAGGAAATAAGAGATGCATGCTATGACATGAGATATCTTTCCAAACAAAAGTTTAACATGTTTTAGATTTGATAAAATTCTCGAATCATTTATTTTACTGTAAATATGCTGCTGGCTTTTGTAATGCCTATCACTGTATTCAAAGTATTTTGCCTTTACCAGTTTTCAGTTTATCATGCCATTAAATAGTGAGTTTGGTATATACCTCTGAAATATTATTTTTTTTTTCCAATTTTACTCTATTTATAGTTTGGAATTTGCAATGAATATGAGCTATCAGTTGTTAATGTTTTCAAATTTGAGTCCTTAAAATACAGTTTCTAATCCATATAAAACCGCTGAATCAGCACAGATTACTGAACACTGCTAAACAGCAAGGCTATTTTGCTCTAGAGACTTCAAAAATCACAGGTTCCATTTATAAAAAATACACTTCTGGCTTTCAGGAGAGTTGCAGAAATTAACTTTAAAACCTGACCAAAATTCTGCCTGGGATGTTAAAAAATCAGATGGCAGAAATAAAGACCTTAGAACTAGGTAGTGTTTCACCTCATGTGCTTTTTGGGAAAAAATCTCATGTTTTTCGGGAGCCGGGCATGACTTTAAATTCTTGGAGTTTGGCAACACCAAGGTCAGCACTTTTGAATGCTGAATTCAGGCAGGAAGACAGACATAATATCCTAACACAAAGGTTTATAGAAAAGCAGGTCACCTCAAACCTTTCTAAACTAGACATCTCGGAGTGCATGCGAGCAGTCAGAGTGGTGAGCTGGAAACAGTGTGAGGGCTGCACAACAATCCACCTTCTCAGCAGAATTTCAATTACGGCATAAATTTTCTGGGCTAATTCTGCTGTCTCATAGCACAAACAGTATGCCAGCTTCTCTGAGCTACTGAAGAGGCATATAGAAGTGGGGACAAAAAGTCCCGAAGGAGACAATGGAAATAACAAGCTTATGAGAAAAAAAAGTCAGTATAAGCTTGTACTCCATAAAAAATGCAGTAGGGAGTGTTTGATTTCATAATTAGCCTTTTATTTGGTAGTGACTAAAGATCTTGATTAAATGTAGTCTTGGGTACCTATGTGCTTGCACCCTGAGTACTTGCATTGGCCTTAGCATTTATTCACTTTCACAGACATGCAACAAAGAAGTTTTAGAACAAAACCCTAAATATTAGCTAGAATACACACCACTATTTTTATAACTTTCTGATTTCTAGACAAAAGGAGATCATGTTAACCTTCACTACTCTCCCTCATTTTTAAACTATTCGGGGATATTTTGCTTAGAACATGAGAAAATCAAATGCTGCTTATTCCTGTCTAATCACAACTGGCAATAAAGTGGTAAGAGTATGTTGATATTGTGTTTGCAACAGTTTGCAACAAGTCAATAATTTCAGCAGCCAAAAGACTGTGAAGTGGTTGTGGATGCCAGTGTGCAACCTGTACACTTGGCCAGCAGCCTGATCTGCTGCCCTTCTGGCTCCTACCTGCAATGCAACAGCTGAAACCGGAGATTAGAAACCACTTCTAGCAAGAAGAATAATCTCCTTTCTTGATTTTTTGATGTCCTAGGAAGCCTCCCACATAGCTTTTTCAACTCACTTAAGGTTTACAAAAAGGGAGTTTAACTTTCATTGCTGCCTTCAGTCCTATGTGCCTTACAAATCATCACCACATACTTTAATGCCTATTACTTCAGAAACAGTATGAAACAGTATGATTCAGTCAGGAAAGGTATCAGGAGACCTGGATTCTAACAACAGTCTCGGTAAATTTTGTACATTATGTAGCCTTACTGAGTAAGAACTTGTTTCCTGCGGCTGGTTTTAAATGCAGATTTTTGCCACAGAGAGATTTCAGTGCTCCTCTAAATTTATGTGCATTATCCATGGAATAGTTTCCTTAATAGTTCTTAAAAAATAGTAGTAAAAATAAAAAACACACACACACAACCAAAAAAAAAAGAAACAAAAAAAAAAACACCAAAAAACATCTTCACTATGCCATAAGCTTATGGATTCATTACTTGCAGGGTCATAGGCAGAATTATGGACAAGCTAAACACAGAAGTGCAGCCAGCTTCTATTTCAAAGCATGCCTGGCTATTACAGAAGGCAGAAGGCACAGAAAAGGCACGGGAAAGGACTAATTTCTGTACCTCCCACCTGAGAAATCATGAGCTCTTGATAATTCAAAATGTTTGAAAAGACCACTTTAGCCTAGGGAGACAGTCTCCCTAGATTACCAATAGCAATCCTTTCTTGTGTCCAAAACCCAAATGACTTTTAGAAAAGTACTGGTGCCTTCATGAGTCTGGAGGAACATCAAACTCAGGACATGTGTTAAGACCTTGCTATTACTTCCCCAACTTATTCATTCTGTACTAAGCACAAAGACAGATTCTTCAGAATACAAACTCACATCACCTATATCAGGCTCCCACCCTAAATGATACTCTAGAGTATTTTTTTGCTGACTGTAAGGGAAACCCAAGATATTTGGTCCTCTTGAACTTCTGGAATATGTCTGCAGTGTTTTCTCTGTTTTAAATGCAAGCTGCTGACTTCCAGTAACTATGGGATGCACTGCAGCCCTCCTGCTCATGTATTAATGTGTCAGCTCACTCCTAACAGGAGTTGTCCCAGCTACGGAGGCACTTGGCAAAGAAATGTGAAGAAGATAGTGCTGATGCTATGTTCTTCCTTTGGAAACAATGCTGGAAATAATCACCAGGAATGACATGTTCATCCCTGTAATTAAATACTACATACATGGACAAGAACCAAATAAACATGCCAACCTCACTAACATTATGATATTCTGTTTCCAAGAAAGCAAAACTCTTTCATTTATTTTCACAAAGTTCTCTCATATGATTGAATGCATATATTAAACACCCATCAATTTCAGCAAAACACATTAACTTTTCTCTGCCATAAAATTTTGTCCTCATTTAGTAGAATTGAAGACAGAATATATAAGAGTATTTTCATTAGCATATTGCATATTTATTTTTTTGTAGAAGGAGTCCCTATTTCAGATCCCTACATCCATTAGGATTTCAGTACCAAAGGCAGTCTCAGGCCACCTCCTAGAGAGTTTAGGAGCAGGTACGATTCCCCCAGCCTCCTAGAGGATTTAGGAGTAGATATGTCCACAGCTAGAATATGGTCCAAGGACAAAAAAGGATGGCTTCCCTGCTTACAGCACATCTTGAAATACCTAAATGTGCATTATTTATTGGCATAGGAGAGTTTTATCATTAGGCAGAGTTTTCTGTATCATACCCAGGTACTTTTCAAGTCTTGTGTTCAGCTGTTCCCTTGATCTCAAAAGAACAGGTTAAAACAGGGCAGGGTTGAGAACCAATGTGAAAAAATATGTGTTCACCTTCACAATAATAACAAAACACTTGGCTGTGTTAATCTCTTTATGGCCATAGAGGACCTCATTCATTGACAGAATTAATTTGATCAGCTTTCTCACTTAATTAGAGCAGTATGCCATGAGCTCCCTGAGCTGCACATAACTTCAGTTTGCACTTATGTATACACCCCACTCTGAATGCCCAATGCAGGATGAATTTGCCCTGGCAAATATGATGCAAAAGGCAAGAAAAACTGGAACTGAAAATATTGAGGTTCACTCCTTTGTGCACTTCACAGTGTTTTATTTCAAAAAAACCTGAACTTCCTACACACTCAATTTCTGTGAAGTGACCTTTTTGCATTTTGTAAAATATAGTTACTTAAACATAATAAATGGATACTGAAACAATTAGATACAGTTGGAAAATTTAATGTTTGTAACTCACTGGACCACATGTAGGATGCATTACAAGTGAGTTGTCTTTAATGTGCAGATCAGATGTCACCACCAGAGTCAAAATGTTACCATGTTCTGTATTTATAAGAACACTATGACAACATAACCCAGTCATGAAAAGCTCAATTATTTTCAAGGTATACCAGATGAATAATCTAGAGATTGGGGTTTATTCCTAACTCTTTCAGGGGTATCCTATGACTTTTTTCTTTCCTTTTTTTCTATGTCTTGAGCAAGCTGCTTCAACTCTTACTTCTTGTGTTCTGTCAATTAATACCTCAATATCCACAGATGCAGGCCACAGCCAATTCTCACAAATCCTTATCATCTAATTTTTAACTGAGCATTTAATAATTAATTTACTGTCCATGCTCTTCTGTACCATTAATCGCAAGATACATCATAGACAAGAGGAAGTTCTGATGGGAAAAAAGATCGTGCATTAGTTTCTATCAAACCTCGAAATTTTTAAACATGGGAAAAAAAAAACAAAACAACAACAAAAAAAAAAAAAAAAAAAAAACAACAACCAAAAACAGAGCTTTGTCAGATCCATAATATACCAAGTCACAGTGCTGGATGGTCAGTGGATGATGCTGATGACCCAGCGCTGACAACAGCTCAGATCCATCAGATGACCTAGAGACAGGGGTTCTGGGGCTACTGCTCTCACAGGAATTTCACACAGTTCCTCCTGTGAAGCAAGCAGGCTGATTTACTGGGGTTTTTCTACTCTTGGTGTAAGGCTGGTTGGTTAAGGAAATAATCTTAACTTTTTTTTATCAGATACACACACTGTCTATGAGACTTCTGGTGATTTTGTGTTAATGTATTTTGCGTCTGATTTGTTTGTCTTTCCTCAGTATTAAAGTTCCAGTAATTAATAGAAATTACTGTCACACACACTGCTACATCTTAATAAATTAAACTAGTAATTCATAAGACTTAAGAGTTCAGTGGACAATGTGCCAGCCACTTATTTGGAATATACGGATTGCCAGCCATCTGCAGAGCACAGCTTGTGAATCAATGTACTTGGCAGCATCAAGAGAAGCTTATCTGCTTCAAGGTATTATGAGGTTAGATTCATGAATATGTGTAAGCATATTCAGCATAACCAGCATAACCCAGTCTGAAAAGTTAGACACGCAAAGTTTTACTATAAGCAGTGTACTGAAATGCCAAATTGGGGAATATCAAGAAGAGAGAGGTGAATTCTAAAACATTTTAAAGAAACTCTACTTGTTTCGTATCAGTAGAAGCAGCATGGATGTGGCCACAGTGCTGGCAGATGCCCAGGACTGCAGAACACAACAGTAAAGAACAGCAGTAAGGAATAGTTTTGGCAAGGCTCTAGCACTGGATGTGGATGAATCTACTTTTGGTGAGTTAGAGCATTATCCCACATTTGTCATTCTTTAACCTAAATTTACCTTCTCCATGAAAAGGGTAGCTTAAGAATGCTACAATCAAATCAGTTAAGGAGTGAAATTTGAAGTGAATGAATCAGTGTATGAATCGCTGAGAAATTCCCACTGAACCTTCACTTCTGAAAGTACCAAGAAAGCCTTACAGAAAACTGCTGAGAGCTACACAGATATTTCAATAAATTCAGATGAATACAAACCACACAGACTTCCATGTTTTTCAGAAAAAGAGAGTTCATCGCTTTTGACTTCAAACCCAAAGCCCTCTTCATGGCCATAAGCACTACTAAGACTAACTTCTGTTTTTGAAAACATGGCTAGAAAAATTAAAAGTAGTTACGAACTCTGACACAGATCCAATTATACCCAGCAGATGACAACAGCAAACTTTTATACCAGGTGACTCCTCTTCTGGAAGGACTTTCTGGGCTTCCTTTCTTGTAACTGTTGGCCCTTCTTGCCTACAGAGAAATGGCATGAGCTTCAAACAAAGAATTCATAAAAATATAAAGACAGTGACACCACACAGGCCCTTTTCTCATCCTGCTAAAATACTTTAACTTTTTAGTTTTCTATTTAATTGCTTCTTGATGGAAATTTGAAAAAAAATGCTTAAACTCTTCTCAGAGTTGCTTTTGTCATGATCAAGAGACATATACTTGATCACTCCTTCTGTTGTTCTAGAAGTCAGAGATGGTAGCTCTGTAACACACTGATCTATAAATTTGTTGTGTCCAAAAAGGAAACTTCATTTCATGTAATAGGAAATCAGATAGCTTAAAGAGATAAGTCAAGCAATTAGGTCAGCCAGTCTATATTATATTTGAACAAGGATCAACCATATTAGCTAATGTTGGAAAACAAAAGGACTCTTAAGAAGAAGAATCCCCAATAAATATAGTTTTACTGGAATCTTTAATAAGACAAAATGTATACTGAGAATAGTGTAAGTAGAAGAAAGAAGAAAAAACATGCAGAAACAACAGAAAATTAAGCCTCATCTACTAGACTGCATTTTCGTATCTTGGAAAAATCCAGATGGTTGTGATTATTATTTTGGATGAGATATGCTTAAAAATAGACAGTGTTTGGCCATTTCAGCAGCCTTGAAAAAGTGGAAATTTTAGGGTCTTTTACAGCACTCTGCTATCTCTTTTTACCCTTAGGGTGTGATTTTTGACAACTTTCCTTCCATTATGTTTAACAATAATTCTGTCTGTACTTTTTTATGATTTGTCTAATTATATAAAAAAAAAAGAAGCTGTTCTCTGATGTGTCAAGTACATATATTTTTCTTTTCTATATGGATTTTAGATTTTATTATAATGCTGTGCCATCATTTTGTTTCCACAACTATTTAATAACATCAGTTCAACACCCACCAAAACCACCAAATGCAATAGTGACCAAAGTGTAGTTGTCATCCTTTATTAGCAGAATTTGCTTTTAATGAAATGCTCTCCAAAGCCAATACGTACTAGGCATGACTTCAGTACCTCAATAAGCGTGTGTACATAAGTTGCAAATACCACAAAAACATTTCCAACATATGCATGTAGCATGCAGAATTGGGTATTTTAAACTGCATCCTAATTATTGTTGTTCCCCCATCAGAAAACTGAAAGACCTTCTTACTGAAGAATAGCTTATTTCTAGTGCATTTCTTTAGTTAAAAGGTTTCAGCATGTGTCATCTGAACAATCGCTCTGCAAAAGATTTATAAGATTATCGGTCTCCCTCCAAAGTCAAGCAAACCCAAGTCCTTATTAGGATAACTTAAGATTTCAGACTTCTTTTTGAGCATGCATATTGAAAAGATGTTGATCTTCCCTTCAGGCTGAAATCTTATTACTGATGGAGTAGACATCCATCAGGAAATATATCAGCTAAGAAAGCTGTACTTTATAACTTAAATCACAACAGCCTGCAAAGCGCTCTTTCCATTCTTTAAAATCAGCGGGATTGATGTTACCAATTCACTGGTAACACGACTGATCTTCCATTAAAAAAGTAACTGAAGTACAGTTCAGTGTAAACTGGTTTGTTCCATACGGTAGTAACTGCTAAAAACTCTCCATAACCTAACCAGTATCTCTACAACATCTGTTTCTCCAGTACTAAGAGGTATTATACTTTTACATATAAATGAGCTGCTAAAAAGGGGCCATCTCTTTGCTATCCCCAGTTCTGGCCATGAGCCTCGCGCAGGAGGATAACCGTTCATTGAAGAAACAGGTGGAGATACCGTGCAACTTCCTGTGCATCCAGGGAAGACCTCATCCCCCAACACGATACACTCGCTCATTCCCAGGGGACAGCGCTCAACGGGCAGTGTCTGTAAAACACAGTTGAGGCTGCCCGAATGAGACTGAAACCCACCCGCGGCCGGCTGGCGGCACAGCCACGGCTTTCCCGGCTCCCCTCACACAAGGGGCGTCCTCACCCTCCTCCTCCTCACACCCCCTGGCCACCAGCGGGCCCGGCGGCCCTGCCATGCCGCTGCAGATCGGAGGGGCACCTGCTCCGTCCCCCCGGGAGCCCGGCTCTCGGCCGCGCTGCGCCTGCCGCCCCCCCTCGCGGGTCGCTCGGCCTCGGCCCTTGGACCGACCTGCATGGGCGCTTCGTGCCTCATGGCCGAGCGCGGCCCGCCGCTCGCTCTGCCGCCGCCCGCTCGCGTACGCCAACAGCCACCGCCGCCGCCAGCCCGGGCTCTGCTGAAACCCCGCGTCGCGATCAGCACCGGAGCTGTCCCCGCTCCTCCCCGGCACCGCCCCTCTCTCCCGCCTACCCCGGGGAGCTGTAGTCCCTCTGTCCCACTCCCCCGTGCCCGCCGCCGCCGGGGCTGGAAGGAAGGACTACAACTCCCGGCGTACTCCGCGGACCACCGCCAAAGAGGAGGGCACAGGGGGCGGTGGCCGGGCGAGAGGAGCGCTTTGAGAACTTGTGTGGGGGCCACTGAGGGCGGTGGTGGAGTGACACGCCGGGCGGGGCAGGGCACGATGGCGGGATGGGGGGCGCGGCAAGCAGCAACGGAGCTAGAGGAGCCGGCAGGGTCCTTTCCGAATGCCGGCGGCTGGCACGTCAGGCAGCGTGGGCTGCGGGAGTTGCTCGAAGGAGTGCCGCAGACAGTCGCTGCTCCCGGGCCATGGCCTGCACCACGGCAGGCAGCGAGGGGGTGGTGGTCGGGAAGCACCGACGCTGCACGGGCGAGTCTCGACCTTGTGCTCCTGGACCACGCCAGGGGCGGAGTCGCTCCTCCCTGCCAGCAGGGGGCGCCCTGGAGTAGTGGTCCTCCCTGGGGCTGAGCGAGGCCGGGCACCCTTCGGCATGGTGGCTGCTGGTTAATGGTTTTTCTGTGGTGTAGTGACAGCCCCTGCCTACACCAAGACTTTTCTTGGTCTTCTCTGGTTGTCCCTGCTTTCCTCACCTGATTTTTCTCCAGCCTTTGACAAACGGTAGCAGGCAGGCGTCAGGGTTGTTCAATGGCAGCAGCCCGATGTTGACATGGTGTCACTGCTTCTGGGCAGTGGTACTCAATTTTGATGGCAGTATGGAGGTCATCGTGAGGAAATGTTAACAAAGCAGCCAAAAAGCACATCTTCTGCATGGTTTTTATTGTCCAAGAAGGTGTTTTAAACATCTTTATTGGCATAACGTCATATTTTTCATAACCCCATCCTCTAATGCATAGTCCATACACATTTTGGGGCCCAAATATATGGGACCATAGAATCATAGAATGTTTTGGGTTGGAAGGGACCTTAAAGGTTATCTATTTCCCCCTGCCATGGGCAGGGACACCTTCCACTAGACCAGGTTGCTCCAAGCCCCGTCCAGCCTGGCCTTGAACACTGCCAGGGATGGGGCATACAACTGTGTTCCCCAGCAATGAGGTATCCATTGTAAACAATCTGTGTATAAGGGGTACTAATGTTACAAGAATAATGGCATTAAAGACATAAACTAAACCAGAGACTTCAAGACTTCATAATGCTAAAATGAGTTAAAGGACACAGCAACCTGTGAAATAACTTGAAATTGTTCCTTATATGATCTAGGACTCTGTTATGACAGTGCATCATACACAAATTCTTACGTGAATAAGAGCCAAAGGAATAATTCAGAATTTTTTAAAACTTTCGATTTGTTTGGTCCTATTTGGGAAGTTTCATTCGTACAGGGAATGTCAATCCATAGTTCAGATGGGGATTAATCTGTAGTCAAAAGGATTACTCCCTAGAGCAAGGTCAGCATGACTAAATCCTGGATTTCTCACTCATACTGAAAACAAGCCAATAAACAGATCAGTCTTGTAACCTACTTGTGAGTAATACTCATACATGAATGTGTCTTCATAGCCTGCATATAAACAATGTGTGAAAGTCCAGGCTGGGCCCAAAAATCCCTGGGTCATCTGATGTCAGGCTGCTAAATCTGGCATCAGGAACTTAATAGTTTGGTTTCAGTCAGCTAAAATTCTTCCTTCCTTCTAAATGATAGCATATATAAATAGTGGTGCATTCAGCTTTTAGATTTGGCTTTTTCTCCGCTCCTGAAAGGGTAAAGATGAACCATGGGTTTAAGCAGCAGAGGTGGCTCATGCTGGGATGTCAGCCCAAGGGTTGAGAGCTGGATGCTGTCTGGGCAGGGAGGGAAGGGCAGGAGAAGGCAGCTGCGGTGGCTGAGGCAGCAGGAAAACATCAGCCTGCCTTGCAGGCTACCCACTTCTATGTATGTGGTATGTGTTGTATAAAGTAAATCACCTTTGGGATCTAGGACATAGGCAAATTGTATAATAGAGACATCAATATGGATTAAAATGTATGTCAGAAGAAATTTCATTCTAGCTCTGCAGATTTTTAATTTCTTTAGAGCTATTTAAACCTACCCCACCATAACATAAAAATAGGAATTAAGTGGAGGTTTGTTCAAAGGAATGATATATGCCATCATGCATTTTTGCAGCCAGTTCTTTCTGGCATGAAACACTGAATGTTACTCTTTCTGATAATACAGGCATGTAGACATCATCAATTTTCTCAACATTTTAGACCACCTGTATGTGTGCATGCATGCATGAGCATGCTAAGAGTAATTTTTTTAATCCATGTGATTTATTCTTCCTTTTGGTTTTAGACAGATACATGCCAAAAAAAATCATGAATAACAACCATTTCACTCTGAAAGCATGGAACATTATATTTGCTATCAGTTGCAATTAGGGAAAAACAGAGAAAACTCCCTTTTATTTAAAATATTGGTTTATGGAGCTTTATTTTTAACAAAGTAATATAAATATACTATACAATCATGAATATATGAAACTATAGCTTTTCATGAAACAGTTCTCATTTTGTAATGTTTAAATTTTAGCTAAATAGATTTTTGAAACAGTGGATTAAAGTACTCGGAGAAGCTTTTTATTTCAGAATTTAGAGAACATATACTCTGAGTTTATTATTCTATTAAACTTTTAAAGTAGATTTACTGCAGATACTGTATTAGAAATTGCAAGACTTAACTGGTGCTGGGTTCCCAAATTTATCCCAAGACAAACATCCTCCACATCTTTTTACTGTATTGACATTTATCTTAGCATTGAAGTCTCTAAGCAACCTCTCACCTAAAACCTCCATACAGGGAACTATCAACAGAACATAAAGTAGGATTAGTTTTTAGATTGTCATATGTCGTTCTTTAAAGCAAGGGATCAGCTTTTTTTTTCACTAAAAATGTCAAAGTTAGCAGTATCTCTGCAAAAATAGCACCTTTCTGTTTCTTTGCTTAATTTTTAAAGGCATAAAAATGCAAGAAGTAATGGTGACACTTTGCATGTGAGTTGGAAAGACCATACTAGGTTTTTTTTTAATTCCTCAGATTTTGTTTATTATTTGTCTTCTGGCAGCAATTTTGTCCTTTTCTTGCTGTCTCCTTCAGAGGCTTTTGAAGATGGTATGGAAAAGAAATCGACCAGAATTGAACTCCATAATGCTAGACAGAACTACAGTTTTATATCTCAAGCATCTTAGTCCACTGGCATGCTGTGACAATACTCCTTAATACCCTTGTTCACAGAGTGCTGTGTTTGTGGGGCAGGTTTTTCTGTTGATCACTAATCACTGTTTTACAGTATGTAAACATTTTTGGAACATGGTGTATTTGGAGCTCTCTTCTGTACATAATTACTATGAACAAGCTATTTTCACCAGGTGCTAATATACAGTTTAATAAAATACCTAATTCTTTTAACCAGGAACAGTAGAAACACTGCAGAAGTAGTCATGAGCATCGGTTCAGGTTTTCAGTTACATTGGTTATACTACCTCCTTTTCTTCTGCTAAGACTCAGCAGGAGGGATTTTTTTTTTTTTTTAATTTTTTATTTTTTTACATCAAATGCTGGATCGTGGAATGCACAGAACAAGTTAATTATTATTTGCTAATTTGGACTAAGGAGAAAAGGAGAAATTTTCATTTTCCTTAGGTGATGGCAAAATAATTCAAATAATATATGTTATCACAAAAGCTAACTTAGAATGAGCATGCTGCCCAGGAGATAGCTAGTATGGTCAGTCTGCCTTATTTAGATGTAGAACAGTGTGATTTTAGGACATTTTTCAATCTTTGTAATGCAATTTGTTTTTTGCTCAAAACACTAATTTTACAGTACATGCCCATTGCAAAAAATCTGTGGGGACTTCTCCTCAGGCTGGAAGACAGATAAACTACATAGAATATTGTCATGGGGTAAACCATGGAAGTTGCTACTTTTTCAGCATATGTAGATGCTTCACTGCTGTACCAGTGCTTGGTTTTGTGACCTTTCCAGACTCTCTGAGTCCTTAAAATCACAACGGATGAGACTCACAGATCAGGCCGCATGACAGGATGCTGCTGATGCATGACCTGGAGATGCCACAATGGGGAATGAGAAAGCAGTGACTAAAGGAGCAAGTCTGATGTTCATCATGTGAGACTTGACAGGTCTGCATTACAATGAAAGACAAATAAATGGTTCCTGTCAGTGAAGTTTTTGTTTTTTTTTCCTTCTACTTCTTCTTAGAATAGATGATACTTTCAGTCTCATCCTTGTTAAACCCTGTAAGCGTTAAAACTGTGACACAGAACTGAAATGCAGGTTTTAATTCTGTGAGTAAGGGACCGGTGTAAATCACTACATTTCTGCCATTGATGGAAATGAGTACTGGGTGATCTGTCTCTGCAGTGTTGTTGCCATGGCTATGGGGTCATAGTACCAGATATGCCATTACATTTCCTGCATCCTTATGTTCCACGTGCAATAGTTTCATTGGTGTTTTGAAGAGGGAAAATTTGCACTGTTTTTAATTTTCTGTTGCATAGCCTGCTGTCTTGACTTCAGTAAGCTCACTTGGGTCTGTGGGGATCAAACAGGCATTTTATGCATCAGCCTTTGTAGGTATCTCGTTTTGCTACATGTGCTGGGGCTGGAGAAAAAAAGCTTCATACTCTTGACTTCAGTCAGCACCTAATCTGAGCACTCACACCACTGTGCATTTGCATGTCTCTGCAGGCAAGGGACAAACTGCTACCTGGAGTGGAAGAGGTACTTCAAGTCTTCCAGCACAATTTTTGGTGCAAAGTGTAACTTTAACAACCTTGAAAACGTCTGCTCAGCTGTTTTCTGAACAAGGGCTTTAAACTCAGGAACTGCATGCCATTCAAGATGAAGACCAAAGCACTGTATATTCTTCATGATGGAACAGGTTATA